TCTGTCCCCCCTCTCCTCTCCTCTCCTCTGCTCTGCTCTCCTCTCCCCTCCCTTCCCCTCCCCCCTCTCTGTCTTTCCCCCTGTTTCCTCTGGTCTTGTACACAGACGTTCTCATAAGGCCATATGTTTGCAATCATTGTGGCAGTTGTGTGTTTTGCTTTGTCACAAATGACACCCTGAGCATCCTCCCACAGTCCTCCGCAATAATCACACAGTTCTGTTTGCAAGGGAAGAAGGCCTGTGGGCACTCTGGTATTGCTGCACTGAAGCCTGCCTCCCGCCTGCCTCCAGAAGGGGGTTTCTAAGATGTGAGTCTGGCCCCTGAACTCATCTACTTGAAGCTTTCATCTGCAGTTATCAGGACAGAGAGTAGGCATCCAGGCTCACCTCCTCCCAAGGCATTCAGACAGAGTCCCTGCTGGCCACCCTCCCTCCTTCTCCCACGTGGTCGGTCAGAGGCTGGGCAGGAGGCAGAGTTCGCTCCAGATGGTTGCAACAAGGAGATTTTAATCAAGGGATCTCTTCTAGAGAGTAATGATAGGGATAGAACAGAGGACTGGGAGGCTGTTGGGAGGATGTGATCACTGCAGTGGGGAGGGGGCGGGGAAGATGTACTGTCCTCTTCCCCATCTTGTTGGGGTGCTTCCCACTGGCTAAATCCAGCGGAAGTCAGAAGGCTGGGGGGGGGGGCAGGACAAGTGACCCACAGGGATGGATATGTGGTGACAGTGGACCTGGGGAGTGCATGGGAACAAATGGAGAGCATCCCTCATGCCTGTCCCTGGCCTCTGCACCGTGTGATGCCTGTGCCCTGCCAGCACCAGCCTGTCCTTTCAGCCCTGAAAATTGCTCGGCTTCAATGTTCCTTTGGGTGTTCCCACCTTTAGACAGGGCCTTGTGTAGCCCAGGCTGGCCTCAAACTCCGTATGTGATCTAGGATGGCCTTGAACTCTTGATCCTCCTGCTTCCACCTCCCTAGTGCTGGGATTATAGTTGTGTACAACTAGCATGTTGTGGAGCCGTTCCCATGGTGGTGGGCACTCAAGATGCAGCTGGCCCACGGGCGGTAGTCTGTTCATTTTGTTTTTAAAATGCATTAAAAGATCATACTTTGATTGCTAAGACTTTTTGAGGTAGAGGCAGGAAGATCAAGAGTTCAAGACCATCGTCTGTGGCAAGCTCACTACATGAAACCCTCTTTAAAACAACACCCCTCCCAACTCAATTCTTCCAAGAATATTTATATATGTGTGTGTGTGTGTGTGCGCACTGCAGTGCATGTGTTCAGGTTAGACAAAATTATACAGATGGCTCTCTTCCACCTCCCAGAAGTCGATCGGGTTGTCAGATCTGCGCGGGCGATGTCTTTACCCACGGAACCATCTTACCCCTCAAATGCTTTGTGACCTTGATCTAGTCTTAAAAACAAATGTCACATCGTTAAAGCCCTCCCCACACAGATATCTCTGTGTTGAAACAAATTTTCTGGTGCAGACTTATTGTTACTAAACATGAGCCCCGCCCTGGAATGTTCTGTTCTAGTCTCCTCTGTTTTCCTTAAAAGGTGCTGTTCACAACCTTTGAAATTCAAACTGTTCTTGTGTGTTTGTTGTCCAGGGATGCAGTGGACACCTCTTCTAGCTTGTTCTAGCTGCCTGCTGCGCTCTGAGGACAGCACCTGGTGCACAGAGATGTTCTGTGATTCACCGTTGAGGGAGTGTGTGAGAGGATGCATATAGAGGGGTGCCAGACCCCCGTAGTGACGCCTCTGTAATTGGCTTGTTTTCTTTCTCTCTGCAGTTGCCCTTGGGCCCAGCCCCGTCCAAGACACCTTGGCACTGCCACCACCCTGGCCAGGATGGGCCTGCTGTTCCTTGTCTTGCTGTTGACACTTTCCTGCGTCTTGGGACTGCCATTCCACAACGGCTTCTACTATTCCAGTGGCCTACATAGCAGGACCCTGGGCAATGGCTACTGGGAAGGTGGGTGGTTCCTAGGCCTGGCCCCTGGCTCCCGCTGTGATAGGCAGGTTTCAGGCTGGGGTGGAGCCAGCAGGATCTTCCCTGGCGGGGCCTCCAAGGGTGGATCAGCCTTGCTTCCAAGATGAGAAGAGATGGTTTAGATACTCTGAGTGTGCTGGTACCAGAAACACGGGACCAAGTTCTCTTGGGGTGGCCCTCGTTCCTAGAACAGCTACTTCCTTAAGATCCAGCCCCGGTGCCACCGCCCCTGGTCTTCCCCGCAGAAGGGACTTGGGAGCCACAGAGATGTGAGTCTGGATATCAGTGGTACCTCTTTCCAGCTGGGCGGCCTTGGGCAGGGGACTTTTGAGAAGACAGTCACTGTGTCCCTGCTGTGAGTTCCCCCTCACCCACCGAGTCTGCTGCTTGGAGAGTTCTGTCATTTGAGCCCTGAGCTCTGACAGTCTCCTGTCTTGGCTAGGGTAGCTGGGACTTTTGGAGGAGCCCTGGAGGACAGTTGACCCAGACTGAAAAAGAGGAATGAAGGGGACTCAGGAACACTTGAGGCAGGACACTCACTGTCGTCATCTTGTCCCTTGGTGACGTTCTTGTTGTCTGTCTGTCATAGCAGCTAGTACTTAGTCTTTTTTTTTTTTTTTTTTTTTTTTTTTTTTTTTGTGAGACGGTCTCATGCAGCCTGTGTACGGTCAACAAACTTGATGTATAGCTGGGGACGGCCATGAACTTCTCATCCTCCTGACTCTGTCTCCCAAGCACTGGGATCACAGGCACACCTTTACATCTGGTTTGATGCACTGTTGGGGACTGAACCCAGGGCTTGTGCGTGTTACAGGCAAGCACTCTCCTAACTGAGCGACACCCCTAGCTCCCTGTGCTGCTCTGGAAGTTTCTGTGTAGCTGACGATAGCTTTGAGGTCCTGACTCTCCTGCCTCCACCTCCCAAGATCTGTGATCACAGGCAGGAGCCACCACGCTTAGCTTGTCAGTTAGCTTTTGGTGGAGAACAAATTGCCCAAACACAGCTGCTTAACAGCATACCCATTAATGGAGCCCTGTGTGGCTCAACACTTTGGTGTGAGCTCTGTTTCTTCTGGTCCTACAGCCTGCCTCTCTTGGGGGAATACAACTCTGTGTGTTTCCTGAGTCTCCCTCTGAGTCTTGGGGGTGGGGAGGGGGGAGGGATGGGGTGGTGGGTGGGTCTATTTTCAGTTATTGCCAGACTGTGCAGCAAAAAGAAATTTAGGACAGATCAGAGTTTATTGATTAAGCAAATGGATAAGATGAACTGAAGTGTGTCGGTGTGGGTGTTGGGAGAGCATCCCCGAGAGTCCCAGCAGTCGCTGTGCGTGGGATCTGGGGACCATGATGCCACCTAGTCTATAGCTGAGCCTAGATATTAGTTAGGGAAGGGATGTGCTGGTCTAGCTGTCTACCTCCTTTGTTTAATCTACAAGGAGGATTCTCTCACTGAGCAGCTGCAGCTCGGGAAGGGAGTGCTGTAGAGAAAACATTGGTCAGAGGGACCTTTACTCACACTAGGGTCACAAGGAGACAGGAAGCTGGAATCGAGGCATGGCTTATTAGCTGATTTTAGAAATTGGTTCCCCCTTTTTCTTTATTTTTGAGAATTTCATATAGGTATACAATGAAATATGATCAAATCTATTTCGCATTTTACTTCTCTAACTTTTCTATATCGCACAATGTTGCTCTCCCTTTTTTAAAAAAATTTTTTTTTGATACTGATCTTAATATATTATCTCCCTGGCTGGCTTGAAACATGGCTATGCAAACCAGGCTGGCTTCGAACCACAGAGATTGGCCTGCCTCTGCCTCCCCAGTACTGGGATTAAAGGTGTATACTACTATGCCTGACAATTTTTTTTTTATAACCCATTAAGTCTAGTTAATGCTACCCATATGTACACCCATGTGGGGCTATCCACTGGAATCCTACCAGGCCACATCCTCAACAGAGAATAATCCTCCTTCCTCTAGCAACCAGTGACTGCCAATAGCTCCTCAGTAAGGGGTGGGACCCAGAGATCATCTCCAGCCTCTATGCCAGAATTCTGGCTGGCTTGATCTTGCACACGTGATCATAGGCAACCACAGCCACTGTGAGTTCATGAGCGCAATAGCCTTGGCATGTCCAGAAGACAAAATTCCTCCCCATCAGCTGCCTCTTACATTCTTTCCACTCCCCTCCCGAGATGTTCTCGGAGCCATGGGTGGTCCTTGTGGGGCTGAACACCAAGTCTCTTATTCTCAGCTCTTTGATCTCATTAGCTATTCTGACACTCTGGTTGGTGATGTTTCTCAGGAAGGGGAGGTGTGGTTCTCCCGCAGTGATGCTGAGATGCCTGTACGAGTCAGGGACAGTCGGAGATCCAAAGCAGGAGAGCGAGGGGCCCTGTCCTTCCTCGGGTCCCCTCTGTCTTCTAACTACCCCATCACTTGCAGATGACCTGCTACTACTGGGTAGTGGATCACCTTGCAGGTGGTTGGTGTAGGATGACCCCCACTGAGGAGGATGCACTGGGCTTTTCATGGTCTCTCGTGCTCTAGACAGGCAAGTCTGGGCTTGTGCACATAGTGACTGGCAATGAATGTCCCTAGAGAAGGTAGGATCAGCAAGAGAGCTCCTGGGACCAAGCCTCAGAACAGGCACAGTGGGACAGTCACTTCCACCTGTCATTCAAGCAGAAAGCAGATGGCAAGGCTAGCACAAATTTGAGGAACTGATAGTGCCTCTTGATTTTTTTTTTTTGAGAAGAGTTTCACTGCATGTAGCCCATGCTGGTCTCAAACTAATGTTAATCCTTCTGCCTCAGCCTTCCTGCCGGTGTTTGCCACCACACACAGCCCAGTAGAAGTAAGCACAAAGTCACATTTGTGGAGGCAGTGGGTGTGTGGAGGAGGGGAGCAGCAGGCACTTGGAGGGGTGGGGGGGACAGTGGCTCTTTTTGCATCCTGCAACACTCGAGTCCGGAGGAGCTTGGGAGGAGGGTATGAATGGTCCTTGGAAGACCATTGCCGCATCTGTGCCCCACCTTGCTCCCCCCAGGCCTGTTCAACGGAGTGAAGTTGGTGGTGGAGACGACTGAGGAGTCTCTGTTCAGTCACCGAGGCGCCAGTGTGACCCTGCCCTGCCGCTACCACTATGAGCCAGCCCTGGCGTCCCCGAGACACGTCGTGCGCGTGAAGTGGTGGAAGCTGTCCGAGAATGGATCCCCGGAGCGGGATGTGCTAGTGGCCATCGGCCAGAGGCACCGCTCCTTCGGGGACTACCAAGGGCGAGCACACCTGCGGCAGCACAGACCGCAAGAGGTGTCGCTGGAGCTCAGGGACCTGCGGCTGGAGGACTCTGGGCGCTACCGCTGCGAGGTCATTGACGGGCTGGAGGACGAGAGTGGCCTGGTAGAGCTGGAGCTTCGGGGTGAGGCCCTGACAGATGCCACTGGGACCCAAGGGAGGGGGAGAGGACCCAGAGAAGGCCTAGCCCTTTATGCTTTACACAGGTAAGCACGTCTAAGTCTCTAAAAGGAAGTTATTGTAGTGTCATGGCTCTTGTTTTCCAGGTGAGGAGAAAAAGAGAGATCTACCAACTTATGTAAGGGTGTGTAGCTAGCTGACAGGTGGCAGAGGTGGTGTTTGAACCCAGGGAGCGACTTCCGAAGCCACTGCCTCCTTTTCCTTCCCATTCAGTCCTGTTCAGAAAGAGGGAAGTGGGAGCTGGCTGCACAGCTCTCTGGACCCAGAACTGAGGTTCTAGTGGTGTCAGTCAGCAAGACAGATGAGCAAGGCAGGGGCAGTGGGTGACGGCAGGGACTGGTGTAAGGGTCCGAGGAGACGCTGAAGTCTCCGAGACCCCAGACTCAAATAGTATGTAAGAGCAGAGAGCGTTGATTAACATTCCAGCAAGCATGAGGGGTCGTTCACCTGTACAAAATGGCGACGACCCCGAGAGGAGCGCGCAGGCTCCTTTTAAGCACAGCAAGGGGGAGTTTCAGGGACAGTTAGGCCATCTCATACATGACTGGTTAAGCAAGCAGCTGTCACACTAGTGTTTTTTAATTGGCTGGGGTTCAGTCTTATCCTTTTTGGACACACTTGCACAGGCTTGGGCAAGTCTGGACGTGACTCCGAAGGGGGCTGCAGGATCTGTCCTTGAGATTTGAGGCTGATTTAGAGCCTGTGTTAATTCTCTTCCTTGTCCCTGAATGCAAGGGTGTTGTGGGTAAATGGTCCTTTGTTGGGAGAGACACCGGTTTTGCCCTTCTCAGAGAACTGAAACCTAAATTCAGGTGTGAGAATGGAAGAATTTAACCCCTTCATTGATAGAGCCTGGGGCACACTGCTGAATCCCATCCTGTGTAAAGAAAACATTTTAATTCAGGCTAGTTATGATGCCAATTCAGAATGCAGGCTATTGCTGTTCGGTTTTCATATTTATTCTGAGTATGAAATTGTGTGTGTGTGTGTGTGTGTGTGTGTGTGTGTGTGTGTGTGTGTGTGCTGGGGGAGATAAGAACCAGGGTCTTGGGCATGCTAGTTAAATGGTCTATCACTGAGCTATATAACCAGGCATTGAAATCTCTGGATTTTTATGTAAAAATATCCTTTTTTTTTCTTTTTTTAGAAAAAGTAGTGCTGTCTGGATCAGCCAGATGCTACGAGCCCGGTCTCAGGTGGCTCCAGGTTGCCATCTCTTTGTTGTTCTGACTCCTTTGTGTCTTGGGTGGGAGGGCAGCATGCCTTCATCTCTCTCCTCTAACTCCATCTTATTCCACTCCAACTTTGGCCCCTGAGCAGGGCTCATCCCTGGAGCCCAGGCTCTCTCAAGAACAGACAAGGGAATCGTGGTGCAGGTAAAGGCAGTGCCTTTGTGACCTTCCTCTCGCAGTGACAGTGAACTTGCCTCCTGAAAAAGATCCCCTGGAGTCTGTAGCAGATCCAACCCTGCGGCCTACAGGGCCTACCTGGTGGCTCAGAGGAGCCAAACTGCTCATTCTGAAGTCTGGGTTATCAGAGGGAAAGGTTATCAGGGTCAGCCTAGAGAGACAGGGAGTCCTCAACACTTTCCTCATCCCTGGGGTTGCAAGGAATGGGAACTTAGGGTGGGACCAGGCATACTATCACCCTCCACCCCTGCCCCGTTGGGGCCCATGAGCTTTACTGCTCCCTCAGCCTGGCCACAGGGTGATGCTTATTCATGATTCTGCTTCTAAACAGCACAAGCCAAGGAGGGCCTCCTCCTCAGCCCTTAGAGTTACCCCTGTTCCTTAAGGCTTCATCTGACTTGCTGTGCACTGAAAGATGCTTACAGTTTTTAGATTGGGCAGTCATAGAATGGTATCTCATGTGAATGAAGTCCTAGGTTCAAATCCAGCTTACAACAAACGAAAATGAACCCTCAACTTTTTATAAGGTAAAATTTCAAACACGCACGATAACATGGATTCTGTTTGTGCTTCTACTGTCCGAGACAGGATCTCACTCTGTAGGCCACGTTGGTCTTGAGCTCATGGTAATCCTCCTGTCTCAATCTCCTGAGTGCTGAGATTGCAGGCGTGAGCCATCATATCCAGCTTCTCTTGTTTCATCAAGACATTTCTGCATTTAGAAGCCAGGCTTGGCGGCTCCTGCCTGTCATCCCGGTGCTTGGGAGGGTGACGCAGGAGGATTGGAAGTCCATGGCCAGCTTGGGTTACACAGCAAGACTCTGTCCTTGCCTTAGGGTTCTGTTGCTGCGACGAAACACCATGACAAAAAGCAAGTTGGGGAGGAAGGGTTTATTCAGCTTCGATTTACTCATCACTGTTCATCACTGAGGGAAGTCAGGACAGGAACTCACACAGGGCAGGATCCTGGAGGCAGGAGCTGATGCAGAGGTCACAGAGGAAGGCTGCCTACTGGCTTGCTCCTCATGGCTTGATCAGCCAGCTCTCTTATAGAACCCAGGACCACCAGCCCAGGGATGGCACCACCCACCGTGGGCTGGGCTCTACCCCATCAATTGCTAATTAAGAAAATGCCTTACAGGCCCTCATATGACCTGATCTTATGGAGGCGTTTTCTTTTTTTTGTTTTTATTTTTATTTATTTATTTATTTTAAAATTTTATTTATTTTATTTTACAATACCATTCAGTTCTACATATCAGCCACGGGTTCCCCTATTATGCCCCCTCCCACCCCCTCCCCTTACCCCCAGCTCACCCCCCATTCTCACCTCCTCCAGGACAAGTCCTCCCCCGAGGACTGCGATCAACCTGGTAGACTCAGTCCAGGCAGGTCCAGTCCCTTCCTCCCAGACTGAGCCAAGTGTCCCTGCATAAGCTCCAGGTTTCAAACAGCCAACTCATGGAATGAGCACAGGACTTGGTCCCACTGCCTAGTTGCCTCCCAAACTGATCAAGCCAATCAACTGTCTCAGCTATTCAGAGGGGGAGGCGTTTTCCTAATTGAGGTTCTCTCCTCTTAGACTTTAGCTTGTGTCAAGTTGACATAAAACCACTGAGCACAATTCTCCACCCCCTTCCCCTCAAAAGGAATTTGCACGCTAATGCACTAAAGACACACACAGCTGGCCTTTCCTGTCTGTGGTCCCTCCTCTGCAAATGAAGCCAATTCATAGGGGCTGATGAGATGGCTCAGTGGGTAATGGCACTTGTGGCCAAGCCTGGCCGTTTGAGTTCAGTTCCCAGGACCCACATAGTGGAAGGAGAGAACTGATTGCCATAAGCTGTCTCTTGACTTTCATGCACATACCCTGCCCTGATAAACAAACAAAAACAAATAAGTAATGCAATTAGAGAAATAAACCAGCTCATAAATCAAAAGTATGCACCTGTGCCCTAAATGCAGAAAGTTTCCAAACTCAAGCCTTGAGCTCACTGTAGGCCAAGTACCACGCTGAACCATGAGGATAAAGTGATGTGTGGGCATGTGTCGGAATCTTACACAGTCTACAGGTAAATTAAAATGTATTAGAGGATGTGCAGATACTGCCATTTTATATACTTTACAGATGCCCTTAGGATGGTGTGCGTGCGTGCGTGCGTGCGTGCGTGCGTGTGTGTGTGTGTGTGTGTGTGTGTGTGTGTGTCCAATATGTATTTTCTGGGAAATCTACTCAGTTCTAGAAGGAAGGCAAGAGGCAGGGGAACACTTCCTTTGGATTTAGACTTTGGACAGCAGGTAGGAGGTTTGGCTGAGCTACCTGAGGATGTGTGCAGAGGTGTCTGTGGTTTTTTTGTTTGTTTGTTTGTTTTTTGTTTTTTAGGGACAGGGTTTCTCTGTGTAGTTTTGGAGCCTATCCTGGATCTCGCTCTGTAAACCAGATTGGCCTCGAACTCACAGAGATCGGCCTGCCTCTGCCTCCAGCGTGCTGGGATTAAAGGCGCCGGCAGTCTTACGTGTTTTGGAGGCGGCGTGCATCCCGGTGGAGGTGGGAAGCTCTGGCTTCCCCCTTCTGACCCCTCTGAGCCCGTCCTTCCTTTGTAGGCGTGGTTTTTCCATACCAGCCCCGCGAAGGGCGCTACCAGCTCAGCTTCCACGAGGCCCAACAGGCCTGCCGGGAGCAGGACGCGGTGGTGGCATCCTTTGAGCAGCTCTTCCGTGCCTGGGAGGAAGGCCTGGACTGGTGCAACGCAGGCTGGCTGCAGGACGCCTCTGTGCAGTACCCTATGACGCTGCCCCGGCAGCCCTGCGGAGGCCCCGGCCTGGCGCCTGGGGTTCGCAGCTACGGCCAGCGCCACCACCGCCTGCACCGCTATGACGTGTTCTGCTTCGCGGCTGCCCTCAAGGGTGAGTGGAATGGCCCGGCACAGACCTGCCTGCTTGAGGGTCGTCTGGAACCTGAGGGAGGGCCTCCTTATCTGTGAAGCCTCCAGAACCCTCTGCTCTTCTCTGCCTGCCTCTGGGCCCAAGGTCTGAAGCGCTGGCAGTTCTGGAGGCAACGTCCCTACCAGTTCTCAGCACTTCACTCTGGATGTTCACGGCTGCCGCTGGTTATTCATTCATGAGACGTCTGAGTGTCTATCATGTATTGGGCTGTGAGTCAGCGCAGACAAACCATGTCTTTTCCCCAAACACCGGCCTTATTATTCATTGGAAGATAAATGAAAGCAGAAATTTGTTCGGTACCGTAGCAAAAAAATACTTAGACGTGTCTGGCAGGGCCGGGATGTGGCTCGGTTGGTCGAGTTCTTGCCTAGTGTGTACAAGGCATGGGTCTCATCCCTAGCACCTCCTGAACTGGGCATTGTAGTGTACTCTCAGCACTTGGGAGGTGGAGGCGGGAGGATCGGAAGTTCAAGTTTAAGGTCGTTCTCAGCTGCCTAAAGAAGCGCCTGCTGGCGTGTAGAAGTTCCTCACATAGTAGGTGCTCAGTAAACGGTGGGTGAGAGACGAGTCCAGTCTAGGTGGGGGCTCACTCAGAATGCAGCTGGGGAGTGTAGAAATGACGAGAGTAACCCTAGTCTTGGGGCAGGTGTGGTGGAAAGGTGCCCCCCTCAAAGTGTCCCACACAGACTCCCATAGGGCAATTCCTCCCTGCCTGGGGCAGGCCCTACCCCCAGCCCCTCTCAGTACAGCACTCAGATGCCCCGCTTTCCCACAGGGTGGGTGTACTACCTGGAGCACCCGGAGAAGCTGACGCTGCTCGAAGCCAGGGAGGCCTGCCTGGAAGATGGCGCACAGATCTCTACGGTGGGCCAGCTCTTTGCTGCTTGGAAGTTCCGCGGCCTGGACCGCTGTGATGCTGGCTGGCTGGCAGACGGAAGTGCCCGCTACCCCATCGTGCACCCCCGTCCCAACTGCGGACCCTCCGAGCCTGGAGTACGGACATTCGGGTTCCCAGACCCACGCACGCGCTATGGCGTCTACTGTTACCGCCCGCGCTAGCAGGGTGGCTGGCTGTGCATCCTCCTGTCCCCCGACTTCCTGGGTCAACTTCCCGACCCAAGGGTCCACCTTGACCCTTGTGGATTGGGGCGTTGCGTGTGTTGTTTTTATACGTCCCAACTTAAACATTTAAAAAAGGTATTATTATTTCTTACAGACCCAACTCTCAGTTCTCTTGGCATCCCTCTCTGGGGCGTTTGAGGTCCATTGGGTTTTAAAAGGCTCTGCCGTGTTCTGGTACCGCTGGCATCCCTGAGGAAACCGGTGCCGAGCCTGAGCAGTGGCTGCAGCTCTCTCCTCTCCTTGGCTTAGAGGAGGCAGAAGGATGAGTGTTGACTCTTTTTAAATTTCTGCACAGAGTCCTTAGACTTTTGGATGAGGGCTTAAGGAAGGGAGAACCTTCCCGAATCCACCTTCCCGCATCATCTCCTGGTTCCTGAGTCGAGTATCCTTCCCATGTTCCCTGCTTGGGAGTGACCCTCTGGGTGTGTGTACCTTCTTTGGCCAATAAATGGTGCTATGATTCCCTTCTTTCCCTTCCAGGCGGCCTCCGTGTCTGACCCTTTGTCTCCTGCAGCCTCAGGGACTAGATCTCAGCCCAGGATATGTGTGGGGTCACTTCCGTCCTCTGTCTGCCTGGGCTGCCCCTGTGTACTGGTTTGGTTTTGATCTTGTCTATCCTACAGCATACCCTGCCTCAGGTAGTGGCCCAGCTTCTGGGGACCTGGCTCCCATCTTCCCATCTGCACCCCATGATGGCCCATTTTTGAGGGGCTCAGGAGAAGAGTAGGAGGTGCCTTCCAAAGGGTCTCAGAGGCTGAGGATCTATGGAGTGTCTTTGTTCCTCATCCCAACAATGCTTTGGGGAACCAGACCTGTATTTCACCCAGATGTCCCCTGGTGCTTGACAATCAGATGTTCAGTCAGTTTTTCTTTTTCTTTTCTTTTCTAAGTGCATGTGTATGAGTGTGTGTGTGTGCGTGTGCGTGCGTGCGTGCGTGCGTGCGTGCGTGCGTGTGTGTGTGTGTGTGTGTGTGTGTGTGTGTGTGTGCATGTGGTGCAGGTGCCTGCAGAGTCCAGAAAGGGCATTGGATCCCCTGGGATTAGACTTGTGGGTTATTGTGAACCACCTGACATGGGTCCTCTTCAAGAGCAGCAAGCCCTCTTAGCCCCTGAGCCATCTCTCCAGCCCCTCAGTTCAGTTTTTTTTTTTGGGGGGGGGGTGAAAGGAGAGGGATTGAGACATCTCACATAACCCAAGCTGGTCTTGAACTTTCTATGTAGTTGAGGATGGCCTTGAACTCCAGGCATCTTGCCTTCCCAGGGCTGGGACCACAGATGTGCACCATCACACCTGACTAGCAGTCTGGGAATTTGTTAGAAATCCAAGTTCCTCAGCCTCACTCCAGTTGTATTACATCAGAAACTCGGGGTGTGTGATCACAGCCCTTCAGGGGACAGATCACCCCATTTTGGCAGTGGAGATTGAAACCTTATGTATGCTGGTCAAGCACTCTCCCACTCAGCCACATCTCCAGCCCTCTGTTACCTTTTATTGTGAGACAAGGTTTCTTCAAGTTTCTCGGGCTCTCTCAGCCACTCAAGTAACCATGCTCACAGGCTATGCCCCAAGCCTGGTACACCGAGTGTCTCTTGAATAATCCTTTGGCTGTTATTTCGAGACAGGGTCTTACCATGCGGCCCAGGCTGGCCTTGAACTTTCAACACTCCTGTCTCAGCCCCCTGAGTGCACCAGCATACCTTCTCTCAAGTTTCCAGTGTGCCCACTTGCAAATCCGCGCTCCAAACCACTGAATGACGCAGGTGGACAGGCACACCCAGGCAAACATAACACAAATAGGTCACACGTGTTCACACCTCCACGCTGTATTCACACACACACACACGGGGCAGAGGGCCCATCAGACACAGTGTCACTCCGGTCACACACACAGGGGCAGAGGGTCCATGAGACACAGTGTCACTCCAGTCACACACACAGGGGCAGAGGGTCCATCAGACACAGTGTCACTCCGGTCACACACACAGGGGCAGAGGGTCCATCAGACACAGTATCACTCCGGTCAGGAATGAGGCGAACAGATGTGACTGAACACACAGGACCCGCACAATTTTGAGGTCATTTGGGATCGAAGCACGACTCTGTGGAGGTCCCAGATCATGGTCACCTTTTTTTGCTTAAATAAGAAATAAAATAAACTTAAAAAAAAAAAGGAAAGGAAATAGATCTCTTCCAATGTCTTTATTTTTATAATTATCATAATCTTTAGTTTTCAAAAATATAAATAGGTGCACGGAACACTGGCGCCTGCACCGTCCCGGGAGAGGGAGAGGGGAGGGGACGGCGGGGGGGCGCACCCCTGGGGAGGAAGTGCCCCTACCCAGTCCAGCCGAGGAATGGCACCTGCTTAGGGTGGTTGACCCCGGTGAGAGGTCACTAGAAGAGGGGCCCCGGGGGGAAGGCTAGCCTGTCCCCTGCCCTAGGCTCCTTCCCTCATAGATGGCACAGACCTCGGTTCCTTTTGTCCAACACGTGAAGCTGCAGTTAATCTCTTCTGGGTCCTTCGTGCTCTGAGGTCCCCCTCCCCCCTCCCCCATCCTGTCTCCTTCCAGCCCCTCCTCCTGCCTCCCTAGCTTTCCCTGGGGGTGAAATAAGCGACCACTGCACTGCTCTTAGGTCAAGTCAGGAAACAAACAAAAAATAATAATCTTCTTTATTTAATTTAACCCCTTCCTTCTCACCCTGTCCCTGCACTGGTCCCTGGAAAGGCACGGTGGGAGATCGAAGAAGTGTCTCTAAACTCAGTCCATGGGTCACAGGAAATTCGCTTTGGCATTTTTTTTTCGGGGGGTGGGGTGGGGGACAAATTAGATGGAGGTTGGGTGATGTGAGGAGTTGCGGCACACAGAATGTGGGGTATTTTTCCTTCTTTAATGGATTCCTTATATGACAACAAGCGGACAGGAAGACACCATCTGGCTGGGATGCGCGGTCAGCCTGGCTGGCCGCTGGGCTCAGCATCCTGGGGGCACGTCGTGGTCGTGGAAGGTCCTCTCAGTGGGCCATGCTGGGACGGCTCCTCTGTGTGGCTCTCAAGCTCCGCTTCTGTAGCCTGCGCTTGTAGATGGTGGCTGCAGTCAAGGGGTGGGGGGTGGGGGTGGGGGGGGAAGATGAACAGCGAGTGAGGAAGAAGAAGGGCCAAGTATAGACTGTCCCCGGCCTTCCCCTGTCACGGGTGCCCTCCCTGTGGACTGTGAGCCTAGCGGTGCAGCCTGAAGCTCTTCCTGCCCTATTCCTCTGGGACGGATTTTCCATCCAACTTCCTTAGGCTCAGGAGACAGTCACAGCTTCCTTAGCTCCTTTAAGGGAACAGGCACCTTCCATATATATTTTATGGTGCGGCTCCCCAGTACCTTCCCTGCCTGGCTTAATCCCTAGCATGGCACGGAGTCTCCAGGACAGTATCAGCTACCACTATGCTCTGGGGAAGAGGAGAAGGCCCTGTTAGTGGAATCTGACTCTGTGCCAAGTGAGGGACCAGGGGGGGTCAATGCTCACGGTCTGTGCAGGTGATTCGCGGTTCTTCCCAGTGCCCACTGGGCTGGCACCGGATGGTGGGCACGTGGCGCTGGACAAAGCCCTCGGTACACTGGTACCGCACCAGGGAGCTGATCTCATATCGGTCCTTCTTCTGCCCGAGGGTCCTGGCATGCTCCACCACTGGGGGGTCTCCACAGGCCACTGAGGGACAAATGTCTTTTAGGAAGGGGTCTCATGAGGTTTTTCTGTGATGGCCCATATAGGCAGAGACAAGGTTAGCCCACAGCCTAAGGCATGATGAGAAAGGGATCAGGCTGTGCTTCCCAGGGCTGAGACTGGACTGAAGGATGGGGGTGGGGGTAGGGAGGAAGATGACGGGCAAAGAATCCTAAGGCATTCAGTTCTAACATCTGGATTCCTCGGTGGCACTGGGAGGCAGGAAGAGAATATAAAGATGGCCTTGAACAATGGCGAGATGATAAAAAGGAGGGATTGAGGTGGGGAAAGAGGACAGTCTGCTGAGACACCTGTGGCTTCTTTATGAAAACCTACAAAGCCAGGGAAAAAGGCACCCAAAGGAGGACACAGGCCATGTGTAGGAGCAGGAGGCTGCTGGGTCCTTTAAGCATTGTGATACCCATGGCCTTAGAGCTGAAGAATCCAGGCCTGGCAGCTCTGATTCTGTGGCTAGCAGTTTTTGGAGCCCCAAAGAAAGGGTAAGTCCACCCAGGGCCATTAGGGGTGACTTTCTGTTGCTGACATCTGAGAGACCATGGTATGCATGGAGTGGAGGATCCCATCTTCTAGCCCATGACTTTCAGCCTCCCTCTCTTCCTGTGAATGGTTCCCAGGAGTCAGCTTGTTCTTGCTATTGGCTCTGTGATGCTGGTGCCAGGGGAGGCCCTCACATCAGCACCAGTGAGCTTCCCGAGGATGCTCCCGTAGCCCCCGGTGGTTAGGAGACAAGAGAACTCCCCTCTAGATCACACAGCAAGCGGCTCCCTTGCAGCTGAAGGGCTTGTTCCCCTCCCTGGACCTCCTCCCAGCCCCTTCTTACCGGTGCCCTTTTTGCACGTGAAGGGCAGCTGGTAGTTGCAGGGCACATCGTTCCACTCGCCCTGCTCATGCCAGATCATCACCACGCAGTCCTCTCCAGTGGCAAAGAAGTTGTCAGGCTGGTTGGGACGCCACTTCTCAAATTGCTGTGGGCAGGAGGAGCAAGATGGTAAAGGGCAGGCTGAAGCAGTGTGGCTTGGCCTCGCCCCCACTTCCTTCCCATCAGTTCCCTCCCCAAGCTCCTTTTCCCTTTCACCCAGCACCTGGGTTGGACGGCAGCAGCAAAGGCTGCTGGGACTCTGATCTGATCAGGGTCATCATCCTAGATGCTCTGGATCCCAGGTTAGGGAGCCGGTTACGCAGCCTGACTCTGGTCCTTTTCAGGAGCTCATAATCCCCAAGGATTCATTTCCTGGTGGGGAATCCCCAGTCTGCTCATTTCTGACCCATAAGGCCCTTTTCACTGACCTGTAGCTGACTGCCCATTCTGTCCATTTGATCTCTGTGTTTTATGTCTTGGGTAGACACTAGTCCTTTGCACACGAGGAAACTCTCAAATGTCATAGACCCTTCATGGTAGCTTGCTATCATTTTTTTTTTTCCATTTCCTGCCGGCTCCTTATCCTATCTTATGCCTTCCCTCATGAAGACCATCCAGCCCCAGGCTGGTCTCCAGAGGCCGAGAGGAAAGAGACACAATCCCTTCTTCCTACAGAGTTCCTGCCTGCCAGGCATCTGCTCAGTAAGTTTGCGTGAGACTTGAATGCATGCTGTTTGGAGGGGGTCTTTATCCCACTTCTTAGCTCTGGCAACTCACCAGGGAGTGTCCATCAGACCAGCGGAAGTCCCCTTCGATGGTCCTGTCATTCAGACCTATCCACTGGTAGTCTTGAGCATTTTCTGGAAAGGGAAGAGAGGTTTGCA